CATGTCTGCATTTGTGATCAGAGAAATGACAAACAACAAGAGCTACTCTACACCGCTCAAAGCTCGCGTTTGAATCATCAGTAGCAAATTCTTTAAATGAAAACGTACTTACAGTCTGTGAGTCAGAACAGGGGGTTGTCTCCAGGTGAGGTGCCTCATCCAAAAAAAAATAAAAAATAAGAAGAAAATGATCAACCCAGAAGATTAAGTACAAAAATACAATGTGAAATATTTTCAGACCGATACAGTTCTTTTTTTGTTTAGTTTATTTCATTTATTTAACATCCTGTCCCTGGGCAGGATGTTGTTACATAAAATGACAGCACTCCATTACAATAAAATTAAAATGAGAGAGAGAACATCACACTACAATATCACAAATTACAATATCAAATCACAAAAAATACTAAGTGAAGTTTAGTAATTAGTAATTTAGTAAATAAGTTTAGAAGTTTAGTCATTTTTACTACACTCTCTAATATGAACAGGCACTGAAGATCCTATCCTTATAATTTATAATCTTATCTAATCTTCATATTATATTACTGTATATTATATTATATTATTAATTTGAATGTCTTTTGAGTGTCACATTGCACAATGCATGATGCTCTTGTCTTGAACATGATGCCTTACTACTGCACAGGCCTCTGACCACTTCCTTGTTCCATTTTGAGCTGGTTTGTGTGCCTCGTAAATTTGCCGGCTAAAATGGTGCTCACGAGAGACGCTGAAGAAGTGCCGTGAGACGTGTTGCATCGAAATGTCGTTTGACTATATATAAAAGTGTTGCGGCTCGAGACCGGATGAGAATCCTTGTGACTGCGCTGTACATGCAAATCACATAAAAAAGGAAGAAAGCCATAGAACGATGGGCCTACGTGTGAGATTGAGGCCTTAGAGTCAGTGCTCAGGGGAATATTCCTGAAATCAGTATTTGATGCTACTTATTTCAATGTTTTCAATTGTCCGTATGTTTATTTAAACTGAAAATGAAAATCCTGTCATTATTTACTCATCCTAATGTTATTCCAAACCTGTACGACTTTCTTATCATCTGTAAAGCGTAAACGTAGATATTTAGCTAAATGTTCATGCTGCACTTTTCCCTACAGTGAAAGTTAATGGTAACCTAAGGCTTTTGAGCTTCAAAATGACTAAATTCATTATAAAAGTAGTCCATATAGCTGTATTATAAATCTTCTGAAGTCATACAATAGATTTGTGCGAGGAACAGACTGAAATGTCAGTCTTAAAATAATTACATCTTCATACAAATCTGTCATATGACTTCAGAAGACTAGGAATGTACTGCATGTGGACTTTAATTGTGCTTTTTTTTGTTATTTGTGGAGCTTGACGGCTCATGGCAACCAGCAGCATAAACAAACAACATCTCTTTTTGTGGTCTATACAAACAAAAAAGTAATAACATGATGGTGAGTAAATGATGACCAATTTTCCGTTTTTGGGGTCAACTATTGATGTATTAAAATCTGTGATGTTTTAATTATGAATGTCGGTGTATGTTAGGTAGATATACTTTTAAAAATATTCAAAAATATGATTTAATATGACCAAATCAACCTGAATCGATTAGGTTACACTGACAAAAGTAATTTCAAGTGTCAAATCAGTTAAAACACTCTTCTAAAGGTATCAACTGCACAATGTGTGTGAAACCATTGAGGTAACAATTAAATAATTGTTTCAGCATTTCCTCCTCAGCGTCTCACATTAAAAGAACTCCAATTTCTAAAACTTTGCACTTTATCATCAGAACCCATCAAAACCTGGTTTTATTGCATCAATTTTTATAATAAGCTGATTTTTTAAATCATTATCAGCGTTTGTTGTACGTAAACAAAGTCTTGTCATTGGTTTGATGGTTGATTTCATGTCTACATCTCAACAATAAGCCGTTAAAGGCTTCCATTTAAGTCATGAAAACTGTACATACATGAACTCTGCGGTATATATCTAGGCCTTTGTCACATTACATTGACCCACTATGCATTATTTTTGGTTGTGGGCGACTGCTTTGGCTTCATTAGTCAGGAGACTAAAAAAAAGTGGGACAGTTTTTTATTTTTTTTACAATCTAACAATTATTCAGAAAAGAAGATTATAAAGTTTAATTAATATACTTTTTTTTTTTTTTGACCAGAATGTTCCTTTAACTCGCCCTCAAATTATCTGCAAATCTTTCTGTGTTTTTAAAGATGGGAGATAAATGTCACAACTTTGGTGTTAAAGTAAAAATAGTAAAGTAAAACTTAAGTCTGATGTGTCAGGGAAGAGCTAGTAAGGACTTTCATGGTGTTTTTGTGTAGCTTCATGACCTTTAAATAGTTTTTAATGATTCTGTTTTTTGTCTTTGGGATTTTGTAGGGAAGAAAAAAATTATAATAACTTGTACTAATACTAATAATAGTAAACTTACTGCCTTAAAAATTTAAGTAGTAGTGCCATAGTCAATTAAATCTTGCAGTGTTTGATACACACTTTCAACCACTTTGAATAAAGAAAATCAAGTTTACACTCCGAAACTGGTTAGAAATGACACAATATATTGTAACAAGCTAAAATGATTAAACCAAATAATGCTGAAAACATCTTTTGCGATGTTGGGGAAACAATTTGAAAGTAATTTTCAAGGAATTATTTATACTTTTAGTGTAAATGTCTAATGTGAGTCTAAATGTGAGCCTTTAATTGTTGTTTTAAAAGCAGTGCATTATATTACAATGCATTATTACTGAATATGTAATATGCATTGTTTTAATAGCCAATGTTTGTGAATATAGCACAGTTTGGAGGTTTAGATCAAACTTTAAAAGCAGGTTACATATCAACTTGCTGGAGATAGATTTTTTATGCGAACCTCATTGCGATTACTGTGACAAGACAGTCAAAAATAAAATATCATGTTTTGAAAGCAAATCTCTCAAAACGACAAGAAAACTAGTTCAAACTGGAGGTTTAAAGTCACTTTTCTCATTTTGTCATGTTCCATGTAATGGGCAGACCTGCTAAAACAGCTACGCTCAAGATGCATGCGCTTCAAGTTGTGAACTAAGTCATGCAAAACCACATCCGGCAAAGACAAAAAAGTGAAAAGTACTGCCACTCTGAGCTAAAACTACAGTAATCCAAAGTCAAAATTTAAGGAAACCTATGGGATTTTCAGATCTATAAAACTGATGCATCTTAGCTATCTTAGTGTCAAAAAATAACAAATCTTTCCTTATCTTGACACTGCGTAAGACTAGTAGTCTACACTTTACAGTTTAGATTTACAGTCTTCTAGTTGTAGTCGAAGCTCTCATGTAGAAGATTTAGAAGAGTTGCATAGATATAATTTGCATATCTACAGTCTATAATCTATAATTATCAACCCCCACCCACAAAAGTACATATGACCACTCCCCCTTCCGCACACGTACTGTGCATGAGTTATATGGCCGTACATTTGCGAGAACCACATGTACACAGTGTATACTGAGCCGAACAAAAGAAATGAAAGCAAAGTGCCAGAGCCTTGAGAAGGGGGAAGGGTTTTGTCAAGCTACAGGAAGCTGTGGTTGAGAAACTGAAATAGTTTGTGTGGGCGCTGCGTTTCCATGGCAGCCAGGTCGCGCCACATACAGACCACTGCTAGTAACTCCCTTCCCCTTTCTGACCAAAGCCGGCAGTTTTACATGGAGCCTGTTTTGGGTTTCAGAGAAAAGAGATGCTGAATATAATGCGAGAGTGTTTTTTGATGTGCAATAGTTGATTTGTTTTTAAAATAAACAGAGCTTTTTAGTTGTCAGGGAACTTTTTCTCATTTATTCGTTTATTTATAGCTAAATAATAAGTGGTTTGTATTGGTAAATAATTAAAGATATTGTCATTACTACACTACGACAGTCAGTGAAAAGAAGGGATGTAAGAGATGATTAAAAGGAGAAATCTTTTTAAAATCTAGTTTGAAGCACATGTGGCAAGTTCTTAGATTTCGATGTTGTTAAAAATGTTTATACCATTTTCTAAAAAAATAAAAAAATAAAATAAAACCGTATAATTCAATTCTTAGAATGTGAAGTGGTGTCACTATTAAAGTCCCCATGAAATCAAAATTAAAGTTTTTTGGTGTTAGTATCAATATGTTAGTCTTAAGGTTATCTATAAGGCAGTGTGCTCCAAAACAGTGACAAAATTCACATTTAGAAGATATAAGCATTCAAAGCTTGCAGTTCGTCACTTCCGCCAAAACGGCTCAACGATTTTTTTGACGTCACATCGTACCTCAGCTTCTCATCAAACTTTCTGTCCAATCAAATGCTCTCTAGAAGCCGAAGCGCCCGCCCCCTACACTATAAAATAGACGCTGAAGCCGCGGCTGCAATCGGTCACTTGTCCACAGAATTAGTATTTTCTGTACAGTGAATGGCACGTAGTGCACTATATAGGGGACAGGGAACGATTCAAACAGTGTAAATATGCTTTCCATTGAGGAAAAAAAGAAGTCTGGTTTCGCGCTGTGTCACGCAAAGCACCGCACCACACACACACTGTGCTGTGGTCCAGAGACACGATAGCACGGAGCGGATCACATGCGTGAGTCGGCGCAGACCACAAAATGTATCGGAGCTATTTGAATTTGGCTAGCATGCCCTGTCAAATGCGACTTTACGGAGCTCAACGGCTCTGAACGGCTCTAGCCCAAGCTGTGATATAAACGAACGCTATTGGCTATTTTAAAAAGGGGCGGGGCTGCTTGATATGTCCCGCCCTGTCTTCCTGTTTCAGTTAAAATGACGTCAACACATAGAGTAACGCTGCGTGTTTCTAAGCATTTCAGGGGACCTTTAAGTAGAAGGTATTCTACTTATAATTTAATTGTTTATTAAAAAGTTTTTAAACCCATTTTGAAGATTACAAAAACATTTTTTAGACATTATTATGTAAATATGAAATACTAAAGAATTAAGCTGTTTTTCAACTTTAACTTCCCATACTGTATCTTTCATTGTTGACATTGAAAGTTGTGCACCCAATCAAGCTTTATTGTGTTTTGGTGCAAATTCATCTCTCATTTAATATAGCTAATGCTAATACTAATACGAAAGTTTATAAATCTGAGATTAACTTCAACCTTTTATCATGCAAGATATTGACTTCATCACCATTTAATCTGAAAGTGTACGACTAGAAGAAACATCTTTGGTCTTTTGTATGAGTTTGTAGTTTAGTGTGTTTGTAGTTAAATCCTGTACTGGATTTTACCGAAAATGAACTTGCTTTTCTCTTCGGTCACAGGCCTCTCACCCACACGCACTTCTGAACAAGACACAAACACAAAAGAAACAGGTAATGGTCAAACTCAGTAGTTTTCCAGCAATCAAATATCCCTTACTGGACTACCTAAAATGAACTTGCTCTACCCTTTAGTCCCAATCACCTCACCCTCACGCACCTCTCAAGTCACAATCCCAAAAGATAAAGGTAACAATTATCCTCTTTTTGACATACTCTCTTGCAGCAGTCAGTGATACGTACGGATGTACAAGATGATGAAAAAGAGAAGGCATTCTTAAAATCTAGTTTAAAACACATGTAACTCTCTCTCTCTCTCTCTCCCTATGCAATGTACTCATTTCTGTAATTTAGCTTGTTGTGGTTAGTGCTGCATTTGGTTTATTAATCCGGTGGAAAATTGGTGTCAACTTTATGCATATAAGGACTGTATTTGAATCCAGTTTAAAATATATGATCATGTCAAATAGGTTCTTCTGACTCATCCAACACCACGCAATCCACTACTCCTACTCCTGCCTTACATACAGGTAATCATGACACCACACGTCACCACAGCAGACACACAGTCAGTCTTGCTCATGACCTCTGACCTCCATTCTTCCTTCACGCTGCATTGCAAGCTCACCATCACTATCTCTCCAAACTCATGTCACCATTGTGGTGTAATGGATTAGTTGTGTCATGGACAGTGTTATATTTTTATAATGGTACAAATTTGATTTTTTTTATAAAGTCTGTTGAAGACGTGAAATATATGTAAATAATGCTGCTAGCAGATGTTATAATGGGTTTTAATGGGTAAGTAGCTGCACACCATGCAGCAATTTCTGTGCAATCACCCTTTGGCACAAAAGCTGTTTACTTTCTCCATTGCTAGAAATAATTAAATTAATTAAAAGTTACATTATTTGTTTCTTATTAAGTTAATATAATTTTATCCCACACTTTCCACAGGTTCAGGAGACGGAGGTACGTGTCACTCTTTGCTTATGCTATTTCTGTTATGCTTGTGATGCTTCCAGAGAGTTATAACTGTTGGTTGTTATATGTGTGTGTGTGTAAGCTGTATGTCATTTGTTTTTTTTTGTTTTTTTACGTCCGTTGTATGTTTGGGTCAGAAAATAAATATGTGAGAACTTGATATGCTTAGATATTGTTTCACGGTGTTCATCCATCATTACAGCCACTCAGTCAGACTCCTCCACTCTCACCACTGCATCAAACACACCTGCAAATACCACTGAAGGTATATCTGACGTCACCTCGTCAAACTCACACTCCTGCATTATTATTCTCTCATGCACAATCTCTCACACTCTGACCTCCATCTGCCCATCATACTGTGCTAAACAAGATGTTTATGTTGTATTTATTCATTTATTATTTATTTAATTTAATTGTATTTATTTATTTATTTTTGAGAGAGAGACCCAAGCTAACCCTTCTAGGCTACACCAGTGTTTACATTAAAGATCCTGTAATATAGTTAATAATATTAAACATTTATTGTTGTTAATCAAAAATAAATCCAGATCCTGTGATTTAAATCCAGATTTATTTATATATATTTTTTGTTTGTTGTTGTTGTTGTTTGAGACCCAAGCAAACAATTTTAGGCTACATCAGGATTCAAATTTAAGACAATGCAATATAATATTAAGCATCTATTTTCATCAAAAATAAATAATGTCATATCTTGTGCTAAAATATTTATTCATTATAATATTTTTGTCTGTTTATTGTTTGTTTGTTTGTTGTTATTTTTTTGCCTTTTTGCAATAGTTTTCTTAATTTAGATTTTTTTTATTACAGTTTATAGAAGTTTGAAAAGTTTTAAAATCAGCATAGACCTATTGCAATTTTAAAATCTGTATTCTCAGTATTCCTGTTTCAAAAAAAAAAAAAATCTAAAGCACCATTTTGTATATTTATACATTCCTCTATAAGAGTGGTTCTTATATGATGGATTACATGTCTGTTCTGACAGCTGGGGGGAAAAAGCAATGCTAAAAGCAAATAATAATCGCGTATAAGATAGCAAAGTCATATGAAAGAGGAGACAACACTTCCTTTTGGCGCAAAAGCCGTTCACTCTGTTGATTCTAAGAAATAATTAAATGATTAAAAGTTCAGTTGCAGTTCTGACAAATATACACTGAACAAAATTATAAACGCAACACTTGTTTCTGCCCCCATTTTTCATGAGCTGATCTCAAAGATCTAAGACTTTTTCTATGTACACAAAAGGCCTATTTCTCTCAAATATTGTTCACAAATCTGTCTAAATCTGTGTTAGTGAGCACTTCTCCTTTGCCGAGATAATCCATCCACCTCACAGGTGTGGCATATCAAGATGCTGATTAGACAGCATGATTATTGCACAGGTGTGCCTTAGGCTGGCCACAATAAAGGTCATGAAAAATGGGGGCAAAAACAAAAGTGTTGCGTTTATAATTTTGTTCAGTGCAATTAATAGTTTTATCTCACACTTTTCACAGGTGCAGCTAAGAATGATTCAGGTAAGTGTCCCTCTATTTCTGTTATGCTGTTCCTGATTTGATCTTGTGAGTCAAAGAATGTATATCAGTGACAACGTGATATGCTTAGATATTGTTTCACGGTGTTCATCCATCATTACAGTCACTCAGTCAGACTCCTCCACTCTCACCACTGCATCAAACACACCTGCAAATGCCACTGAAGGTAAATCTGACGTCACCTCATCAAACTCACACTCCTGCATTATTATTCTCTCATGCACAATCTCGCACACTCTGACCTCCATCTGCCCATCATACTGTGCTATGAGCACATCACTGAGCAAGAGGTTTGAGCCCTTTAATCGCTAATGTTAAAGTTCCCCCTCCTCCGATTCACATGTGTTTTCAGCCCATGCCCCAGTGGAGGTCGGTGCATGCCACTGTGTAAAAGTATTTATAAGAGAAACATTTTATTTGATCTAATAACCATTATCATTTAGGGACGTTTGCAAACCAGACAAACAAATCAATCTCACCCGCACACACCACGCAACAACAAAACACCAGCACCACTGCAGGTAACAGTGCATTTAACATTATATATATATATATATATATTGTTTTTTTTTTGTTTTTTTTTTACATATATTGTTGAGTTTATGGTAATAACAATCAATTTCAATTTTAATTAAATTTTTGCACAATACAAAAATCTGGTATTATGTTGGGTCACTATATGATGTACAACTTCCTAATATACCGGACTGGACTGTGGAAAAACATGTAAATGTTTTATTTTATCTAATAAAAATTTTCATTTACTGAAGATCAAATCCAGACATCCTCACCCACACGCACCTCACAACAACAAAACACCAGCACCACTGCAGGTAACAGTGCATTTAACATTATAATCCATGTTTCCTTTTTAATTCTTTACTAGTTGATCAGTTTTTCTTCAGTCTGTATCATGTAAATAAATTTGCATGTTGTTGTGTTTATGCAGTTTGTGATGATAAACAATTTTGTATCAACATTTTTTGTACAATACAAAAATCTGGCACTATGTTGGGTCACCATGAGATGTCTTTCCTTCTCATACATCTCATACTGGACTGTGTCAGCATATTTTCTGAGTGAAACCATTTATTTGATCTAATAACTCTTATCATTTAGGGAAAATTACTGATAATAACAAGAAAAACACATCAACCTCACCCGCACACACCACGCAACAACAAAACACCAGCACTGCTGCAGGTAACAGTGCATTTAACATTATAGTTCATGTTTTTTTTTCCAACTTATTTTGCTTTTTTAATATATTCGGATATTGCTGATCATATACGTTCTGTGGTTATACTACATTTGGATTTAAGGACATTTAAGGACATTTTTTAAAATGAATATGTTTAACATAAATATGTTTGCACTATGTTGGGTTACCATGTGATGTCCGACTTCCTAATATCCCATACTGAACTGAGTAAAAGTATTTCTAAGAGAAACAATTTATTTGATCTTATGAATGTTACCATTCAGGGAAAATTGCTGATAATAACGAGACAAAAACATCAATCTCACCCGCACACACCTCCATGCAACAACAAAACACCAGCACTACTGCAGGTAACAGTGCATTTAACATTATAGTTCATGTTTTTATTATTATTATTATTTACCAATTCATCAGTTTTCAGTCTATATCATGTAAATATATTATTTAGCATATTGTTGAGATTATGCAGTTTATAGTAATAATAATTAGTTTCAATTTTAATGATATTTTTGTACAATACAAAAATCTGAATTTATGTTGGGTCACCATGTGATGTACAACTTCCTCATATCCTATACTAGACTGTGTCAAAATATTTATAAGATCATATTTATAATGTCCTCATTTGTAAGTCGCTTTGGATAAAAGCGTCTGCTAAATGACTAAATGTAAATGTAAGAGAACATTTTATTTGATCAAACAATCATTATCATTTTTACTAAAGATAAAATCCAGACACTCTCACCTCCACGCACCTCACAACAACAAAACACCAGCACTGCTGCAGGTAACAGTGCATTTAACATTATAGTTCATGTTTTTTTTCCCAGCTTATTTTGCTTTTAATACATTCGGATATTGCTGATCATATACGTTCTGTTGTTATAATACATTTTGATTTAAGGACATTTTTTAAAATAAAGCAAAAATACGGCACAGTGCTGGGTAACCATGTGATGTCCGACTTCTGACTTCATGTTTTGTTTTGTTTTTTTATTTGAAATGTACCAGTTTCTTAGCTTATGCAGTTTATGGTAATAATAATCCATTTTAATTATATTTTTGTACAATACAAAAATCTTGCACCATGTGTTGTCCATCTTCCTTATATCCCATACTGGATTGAGTAAAAGTATTTATAAGAGAAACAATTTATTTGAACAAATAACCATTATCGTTTAGGCAATTTCACTGAACCTAATAACCAGACAAACACATCAACCTCACCCGCACACACCACGCAACAACAAAACACCAGCATCACTGCAGGTAACAGTGCATTTAACATCATATTTCTTTTCTTTATTTAATTCATTGATTAGTTTATCTGTTTTTCTTCAACCTGTCATGTAAATAAATAAATTTTGTTGAGCTTATGCAGCAGGCCTATATGCACTCTAAAAAAGAAACTACATATTTTACAGTTTACATTGACATTTTTGTGTCACAAATAATAAGAAATGTGAATCTAAATAAATCCAATGTTAGACCAACAGAATTCCCTCAAATGTTGTCCCAACTGGTCGAACACAGTTGTTTGAACCAAGAATTTAACATTTAAAATGTAACAATACTGATGAAATGTTAAGGGTTTGTGAGTTCCCAGCATGTTTTGCAGCATGAATAAATTAAGCGGTCACTGTTTTTAGGGTATTATTGTTAGGGTATGTTTACACAATGATGTACTAAAAAATAAAACACTTTTTTTTTTTTTTTTTCATTTTTTAAAAGTTTTGTGTACAGACGACAATGTCAAAACATGGATCCATGAAAAATGACTAAAAATGCTGTATTATGCAAGTCAAGCCAGTATTTGGCGATGTTACTTTGTAAAGAAACACTACACACCTGTGCATATTCTTACCGACTGAACACGTAATATTGTCGAACAAATCTAATGAATTTACTGGCTGAATCAGACATTTTTTATTTAGTGAACAAACAAATTGAAACTGACAAAACAAAGCTGAATTGCATAGTACAATTTAATAATATTAGTTTATTAATAGTTTAGAGAAGCAATGCATCATGTAAGAGTTTTATGTTTTAGCAACAATTTAGTGTGATAATATTAATTAACTTGCTTTACCCTAAGCTACAGGCCTCTCACCCACAAGCACTCCATCACAAACCCCATCAATAACAGTTAAAGGTAACAGTTCATTAGTTAATTTAGGCATGCTGTATATCAGTGCATTTGTTTTATGTGAAGCAATGGAGTAAGCTATATTAGTTTGCAGTAATATCCTGGTCAGCTATTTTTAACTCTTATTGTCAACTACTGCCTCAACAAGGTGTAGGGAATGACACCACCTCACATCCAAGCACTGGATCTCCCACCTCCATGCACTCCAGCTCAACCTCACCCTCACCCCCACCCACACCCACCACCATCCTCTCGGGTAACACCACACCATTTGTGCTCTCTGTACAAATGATTACTGTTTAGGTGATAAAATTGCATTATGATGATTAATTTGTGATTATGTGCTTTCCTCAGGCACCACAGAAGTCCCATGTGAGTATTGGTTTATTGCACCTGATGTATGAAGTCAAGTTTGGTTGTGTTTTTCAAGACATGTAATTCACTGCTTATGACACAGGTCAATACCAACTTATAGCGAGAGGCTATGAAGGAATTTCCCATGTGGTGAATATCAGTGACTCCAAAAGCCAAAATTACATAATCAGGATAAAGGATAAGGACAGTTTGAAGAACTTCTCTGTCAGTAATGGATCTGATCTAACTGCCATCAAAATACTGTTTAAATGGTTAAAACCATGCACTAATTACAGTGTAACTGTAGATAACTGCAAAGTCCTCGGAGAAGACCATTTTAATTTGAATGGTAAGTAATGTACAGGCAGAAATTTTTCATAATTGCAATTCTCAGCTAATTTTCAGCTAAATAAATGGTTAGACTGACAGTGCTACAACTCACCCTGTGTTAAAATCATCCCTGACAATATAATATGGGCAAAATAGCTGGACAGTTTGCATATACTATGTTGTAGGGTTATGGAATAGTGTTGTTTTATTAGTGTCATTACTTTATTGTTTTTATCTAAGTAATGTAGGAAAGTAATGTCTTTGTTCCTATCTTTATTTCTTTTTAGTCACTGAAAGTGAAAACAATTCTGCAGAACTTGAGGGTGATCAGCAAGTGTGTTTTAAAGATAGCAAATGGAATTTGACTAAATGTGTTAATATAACAACTGAAGACTCTTGTGTTCAGAAGCCCATTCACATTAGTCTAGAAACATGCAGCTACACAATGAATATCCGTATGCCCCCAGGTGAGCATTTAATGCATTTAATAGATATATCATTGCCATGCAGCTATTTATTTTTTAAATGAGGCTCCAGCAACAGTCCTGACTTGATAATATATTATACATGTTCAGAATGACATCTTTGCACTAGTGCATTTATTTAACTTACTAACAGATTGTTTTTTTCCCCCCAGTCAAACCCGAAATAACCTTCAGTAAAACTATTCCAACTAAGTTTGTGTGGAGTAATAAACCACTCAGTTCAGACAATGTGAGTCAGTGTAAAGACACATTTAAGGTCCATTGCACTGATGGCATTAGTAAGTAATGTTATTGTTTTATGTTAAGTAGCAATGTAAATGCATAATGTTATATTTTTAATCATATTTACACTATATACATATAGTAAGCACATAAATACTGCAAATGATTGAAAAAGTTTTCTCTTCCTACTTTATTAGAGTATGATTTGGATAAGGATGTGTTTTTGAAACCTTCAAAAGAGTACATATGCACTGGAAAATATGAATATTACAATACGTTCATTGATAGCAATCCAGAACAAGTTAACATCCATTGCGGTGAGTTCCTGATATGGTTACCCACACCTGCACTTTTGTACAATTAATCATATTTATAATAATAATATTTAACAACAATGCCTTTATTATATTATATATATATTCGTGGTTGATTCTATAATAATTTCGTCACAGTGGTTTCTTGAATCTGAATAAATATTTTGTCCTAAAGCCAACTTGAGAAAATGTATAGTTTTTTTTTTTACCCTCTTTTTCCTTATTTAAAAAAAAATCTAAAGTGTCATACTATATATTTTCATGATTTATGCTTACTTTAATTCACATTGCATGGCTTAATCCCTTTATTGCTCTTTTTTTTTTAGTTCTGTAGTTCTACTACTGTTTAAAGTTATCTTAAAGGGGTCATATGATGCTGCTAAAAAGAACATTATTTTGTGTATTTGGTGTAATGAAATGTGTTTATGCGGTTTAAAGTTTAAAAAACACATTATTTTCCACATACTGTACATTATTGTTTCTCCTCTATGCCCCGCTTTTTTGAAACACGTCGATTTTTACAAAGCTCATCAATCTGAAAAGCGAGGTGTGCTGTGATTGGCCAGCTATCCAGTGCGTTGTGATTGGCCGAATACCTCAAGTGTGTGACGGAAATGTTACGCCCCTCACCAAACTGTTGATGCCGTCTCCGGCCGGAGCGACGAGACAAAAACATTAAAAGCCATTATAAACGAGGCATTTGTTGCATCCAGTGGGGACATAATTACGGATTATAATGACTTATACTGTCTTTTTACGCGTTGCATTGCATCGCGCCGCGTAAACATAAAACCATGTCTGCATTTGTGATCGGAGAAATGACAAACAACAAGCGCTACTCTACACTGCCCAAAACTCGCGTTTGAATCGTCAGTGGCAAATACTTTAAATGAAAACGTACTTACAGTCTGTGAGTTTGCCGGCATTGTAGTCTACTCTCCCAGGATCAGGAAATAGTCCTCCATAAAATGCGCTGCACACATCTGGATATTTGGGTTGAACTGTTCTGGAACAGTGTTGTAAATACAACTTAACCACTGATTTCTAGTCGTGTCCTCTTTTGGAAGACCAAACAAAGTAGTTTCGCTTTCACAACGAAAAACACAGCGGCCTAGCGTGAGCGAAAGCCCCGGCTTAGCCTGAGCTGAAGCCGGGCAAGAGTGAGCTGAGGCGGCGGGGTCGAGAACGGCGCGCCCGGCGGATCCGACGAAGGAGCGGTGAAAACGGTGAAAGCCGATCCGGTGATCCACAGCACTAAATTGATGTATTCCCTCAGCGACCAGCACAGATAAGCTCTAGGCATGACGAAGCGGATATCGTCCTCTTTTGGAAGACCAAACAAAGTAGTTTCGCTTTCACAACGAAACACACAGAACACAAACACACAGCGCCTTCACGACATGGCGGCGGCAACAACAATACTACAACGAGAATAAAAGTTACGCCTTCTTTCTTTGCGTGAACATTTGGGCGGCGTTATGCAAATCTTCCGAACAGAGGCACGGGCTTGAGAACGGCGCGGCCGGCGGATTCGACGAAGGAGCGGTAACCACATGTGACGACCCCGGGCTGGACTCCGCTTCGTCCACGGTGAAAGTTGATGTGTAAAGCTGTCTCATGTGGCATTGCAGTATTGGTCCAACTCTCTTATAACACTTATCATACATTCATTGTAACACTTTACAATAAGGTTCCATTAGTTAATATTAGTTAATGTATTAACTAACATGAATGACCAATGAGCAATACATTTATTACAGTATTTTTTCATCTTTGTTAATGAAAATACATTCATTGTTCATGTTAATTCACAGTACATTAACTAATGTTAACAAGCACAACTTGTGATTTTAATAATGCATTAATAAATGTTGAAATTAACATTAACTAAGATAAATAAATGCTGTAGAAGTATTGTTCATTCTAAGTTCATGTTAACTAAGGTAGTTAACTAATTTTAACTAATGAACCTTATTGTAAAGTGTTACCACTTTCATTAACTTATTTATTTGTTCACATGCAACCACGGGAGAATTTACTTTTTTATATATATTTCTGACATCTTTTTTCTTACTCTCTTTTACAGAATGGATAAATGAAACTGTGTTTCATAAAGTAACCAGCGACTCAATTGGGATCGTATGGACTCTGTCCCCAGGGTTTAAATGCAAAGGAATTACATTGGGAAATTTTTCAGGCAATTGTAAAAGCTCTCATGGTAAAACCTTTGATGGTAAGATCAGTATTTTCTGTAGTGCCAATTCTTATCACTGAAGTTAGCTTTTGAAATTATCAGGTGTTTGAGTCTTTGCATATGTAAATCCACTGAAAGGTATAGTCTCACTAATACATTTTAAATTTACTCACTCATTGTCATTTCAAATATATATATATGATATATATGCTGCTAAATAATTTGAATAATAAACCTAGCAGTCTGATGTCATTGGGAAGAACTTGACTGTACCTACATTCTTGCAAACCTTGAAAACATACCTATACAATTCACAACAGTTTCCAAATGAACACGTAAATTATGATTTGCTTAGGTTTAGGGGTTTTCAGATTTTAGTTTTGTTGGTTTCAAAGTCAATAGAGCATTAACCTTTTAGTGCCACTGGGCATTTAATTTCTGAACTGCAGTGATGCATACAATAAGCAATGTATTTAAATGCTGCCACATGCAATGTTTTGAATAAATGTGAACTTGTTTTTAATGCCAATAACTGGACACTGACATTTCACCTCTGCAGTATGTGCAAGAAGCAGTATAAAAAGAGTAAAATGTGCCTCAGTTATAAACTTCAATGAAATCAGGCTGACAACTAATTTAAGACTCTTTTCCATACAACATCAGTTCACAGTGACCAGGGCTACTCCAAAAAAGCAAACATAAAACATTGTTAGGTACACCAATTTTAGAACTTAAGGACTTGTCTTTTTGTGGATAATGCTTGAAGCTTGACAGTCATGGTCGCAATGAATTGTCATTGTATGGAAAACAAAGTCTATGTTAAAATTATTTTTTTGTGCTCCATGGATAAAACAATAGCATATGTTTTGCATGAGAATGAGTAAGTGATTACAGAATTTTCAATTTTGGATGAACTATCTCTTTAAATGTCCATTTGTTCTGTTGTGATTTACTAATTTGGTTATTTATTTATTTTCAGATCACAATTGCAACCAAGTAAATGACACAACTGCAAACTGCATATTTTCTAGATTAGACTCATATACCAATTACACATGCACACTTTCAGCCGAGGTCAGCAAATCCATTGGCTACCCTAAGTATACCAGAGTTTTTTATAAAAAAACAAATTCTTCAAGTAAGTGTAATCATTTTTAAATATCTGTTTCATATTTGTAACTTCGGTACATAATCTAGGTGTATATTTGTTACCTACAATACATAATTTAAACTCTGCTGAAAATTGAGATGCTGATGACACGTTTATGGCTTTTCCTGATAATAATTCAGTAGGGAATCATTAATCAATAACTTATTAATAATAATAATTTCTTCACAGTGGTTTCTTGAATCTGAATAAATATTTTGTCCTAAAGCTAACTTGAGAAAATGTATTGTTTCATTTTTACTCTCTTTTTTCCTTATTAAAAAAAAAAAATCTATTGTCATACTATATATTTTCACGATTTTTGCTTACTTTAATTCACATTGCATGGCTTAATCCCTTTATTGCTTATTTTATCGTTCTGTAGTTCTACTACTGTTTAAAGTTATATTAAGAAAATGTGTAAAGCTGTCTCATGTGGCATTGCAGTATTAATCAATTACACAGTTAAATTTTTTTAGACCAGTAAATGCAAGATCACACAAGATCATGCTCTAAATAAAGATGTCTTATCAAATAATCAGTATCAAATCACATATTAACAGTTTTTTTTCTTTTTCTGTATTTTAATAGAGCCCAGTTTTGAAGGAAAGAATAATGTCGAAGTGACAGGAACATCTCATAATTCTTTTACTGTGAAATGCAAAGACTTGAGTATGAAAGAGTGGAATGGACCTAAGGGAAAATATATAGCCAACCTCATAAGTAATAGACCACCTGTAAAAAAAGAAAAGGAAACATCCTGTTCATTTACATTTGAAAATCTGTACTACCACACGAATTATACTATTGAGGTATTTATTTATTTTTGCAGTAACCTGAGTGGTATTATAGTGTTATGGTTTGTGTTTCACAGTATTATTTCTTTCTTTCATTATTTAATTCAGATTACAGCAGAGAATGGAAATGGCGACAATTCTACTGTTAAAACTTACCAATCCACTAGCTGTAAGAACAACCTTTTCTATTATAGCAGATTAAAAATCAAGCAAACTGTAATTGCATTTTTAGAAATATTATAAAAGAAAATGAAAACACAAAAGTAGTAATAAATTTTAAGTAATAAAATGTTATAAATATAGTTATAGTCTAAAATCTGAAGTGGTGTGTTCCTCTCTCAGATAACGATAAGGCTGTCATCGGATTCTTGGCGTTCCTCATCCTTGTGACGTCACTTGCGCTCCTTTTTGTGTTATACAAAATTTTCCTGCTCAAAAGAAAACGGTCAGTTTGTCAAATTTATTATTTTCAGTTGACATAAAATGATTCATGTATTAACATTAGCATAAATGTGTATATATGTTTCTGATGGGGTTTCTCACCACAGGAATACTGAAGATGAAGAGATTCTTCTTACACGTATGTTATTCGCTCTTATCAATCAATTCAGTGTATTTCAAAAGAAAATTGCTTTCAGAAGAACTATCTGATGTTTCATGTCCTCCTCCAGCAGAACCCCTGCGCAGAGTTGAGCCCATCTATGCTGACGGTTTAGTGGAGGCTTACAAGAGCAAGATCGCTGATGAGGCCCGTCTGTTTATGGATGAGTTTCAGGTGATTCTCTATACCATAAATCTACATTTACTGTTTTAATATAATGAGAAATATATTCAGATTCTGCTTCTCCTCAGAGCATTCCCCGAATTTTCTCCAATTACACCATCAAAGAAGCGAAGAAACAAGAAAACCAGTTCAAGAACCGCTACGTTGACATTCTGCCCTGTAAATATCACTCCAGTTTCCATAAAGAAATCAGTTTACCCACAATTCCTTGTGTAGTTTTCATATTTCAATCAGAGAATTTATCGTTTTGTGCATGAATTTGCAGATGACTATAATCGGGTAACTCTCTCAACTGGAGGTGAAGACAGCTACATCAATGCCAGCTTTATCGAGGTACAGGTCATATATGCTCTATATATCATGCTTGTTTACCTCAGTTCATTTTAATGTAATTTTATTCAAATTAATTGAGGTACTTTTTAATATAATTTTAATTGTAATATACTTGACTTAAAATTTATTATTTTTCAATGAAATAATATAATTATATTAAATTATTTTTTACAATTATTTTTCATTTCAAAACATCAGAAACACTTTTTTTTTTAATATGTACTCTTTTACCCATACAGGGATATCAAGAGCCAAAGAAATACATTGCAGCCCAAGGTAAAAATCCTCTGGATGGTTATGATTCTAAATTGTGATTGGCTAAGCCACATTTAAAGCAGCCAATGAATGCACACTTTGACCCCACATTCTATATTACTGTTGCCTGACAACCATAAAATGTGGCAGAATTGTTTACACCAACAATTAAGTTTATTAAAAGTGAGAATGAACTGAGTTTTGAAGTTTAAACAATGGCTAGATTTCAATTTGTTTGTTGGCTGTGTTTTCCAGGACCCAAGGATGAAACTATTGGTGATTTCTGGCGAATGGTTTGGGAGCAAAAGTCATCCATTATTGTCATGGTCACCCGTTGTGAGGAAGGAAACAAGGTAAGTGGTTGTGTTTGGTCCAGTGTTGTTCTAGAATTATTTATATACTATTATAGTATTTATTTATTATAGTGTTTATTTATTTATTCAGCTTTTTTAGTTTTCAGTTTAATTTAATTTTAAGTTTTAGTAATTTTATGTGCATTTGTAATTTTTATTAGTTTTTTTGGGAAATATTTTTTAATTAAGCTTTAAAATATTTTAATTAAGCTTTATTTTATTTTAGTTTTAGTAATTTTAGTATTACTTCAACCTTAACTTATTTTATTTTGTGATTGATTTTCTGATCAACATTGTTGAAATAATCAATCTTCCTCATTGTGAATTATTTCCACTGAGTGTTGCTGTTTGTCCTCTCAGATCAAATGCGCTCAGTACTGGCCATCTCTGGACAGAGAGACTGAGATTTTTGAAGATTTTGTGGTGAAAATCCGATCTGAGGAACACTGCCCTGATTATATCATTCGCCATCTGATCCTGACCAATGTAAGTGTGTGCGGTCTGCTCTTTCTTATGTGCTTCATTCAGACGGTTTTAACTCTGTGTGTGTGTGTGTACAGAAGCGAGAGAAGGCCTCAGAAAGAGAGGTCACTCATATCCAGTTCATCAGCTGGCCTGACCATGGTGTGCCTGGAGACCCCTGCCTGCTTCTGAAGCTCAGGAGAAGAGTCAACTCCTTCAAGAACTTCTTCAGTGGCCCGGTGGTCGTCCACTGCAGGTAAGACAGGACCGTATGACCCCACATTCTATATTACTGTTGCCTGACAACCATAAAATGTGGCAGAATTGTTTACACCAACAATTAAGTTTATTAAAAGTGAGAATGAACTGAGTTTTGAAGTTTAAACAATGGCTAGATTTCAATTTGTTTGTTGGCTGTGTTTTCCAGGACCCAAGGATGAAACTATTGGTGATTTCTGGCGAATGGTTTGGGAGCAAAAGTCATCCATTATTGTCATGGTCACCCGTTGTGAGGAAGGAAACAAGGTAAGTGGTTGTGTTTGGTCCAGTGTTGTTCTAGAATTATTTATATACTATTATAGTATTTATTTATTATAGTGTTTATTTATTTATTCAGCTTTTTTAGTTTTCAGTTTAATTTAATTTTAAGTTTTAGTAATTTTATGTGCATTTGTAATTTTTATTAGTTTTTTTGGGAAATATTTTTTAATTAAGCTTTAAAATATTTTAATTAAGCTTTATTTTATTTTAGTTTTAGTAATTTTAGTATTACTTCAACCTTAACTTATTTTATTTTGTGATTGATTTTCTGATCAACATTGTTGAAATAATCAATCTTCCTCATTGTGAATTATTTCCACTGAGTGTTGCTGTTTGTCCTCTCAGATCAAATGCGCTCAGTACTGGCCATCTCTGGACAGAGAGACTGAGATTTTTGAAGATTTTGTGGTGAAAATCCGATCTGAGGAACACTGCCCTGATTATATCATTCGCCATCTGATCCTGACCAATGTAAGTGTGTGCGGTCTGCTCTTTCTTATGTGCTTCATTCAGACGGTTTTAACTCTGTGTGTGTGTGTGTACAGAAGCGAGAGAAGGCCTCAGAAAGAGAGGTCACTCATATCCAGTTCATCAGCTGGCCTGACCATGGTGTGCCTGGAGACCCCTGCCTGCTTCTGAAGCTCAGGAGAAGAGTCAACTCCTTCAAGAACTTCTTCAGTGGCCCGGTGGTGGTCCACTGCAGGTAAGACAGGACCGTAGAGATTATTATATACATTTGGTATCAGAAAAGGTATCAGAAAGGGTCTAAAGGGTCATTTGGAGTGGATAAAGCTTAATGTGAATGTTGTCGTATCCTCTATAGTGCAGGGGTCGGCCGCACAGGAACATATATTGGCATTGATGCAATGATTGAATCTCTTGAGGCAGAAGGCAGAGTGGACATCTATGGATTCGTAGCAAAACAACGTCGCCAGCGTTGCCTCATGGTTCAAGTGGAGGTGATTTTATTCACTGATTTATTGGTTATAAATTTAGTATGTCGCACCAAATTTAAAGTAGGTATTATTAAAATGCCCAATTTGGTCTAGATGTTATACTCTAATCATTTTCTAAATATTTTACATATAATTAATGATGCAAATAATTCTGTTAACAATTTAAATATTTAATTATTTAATTTTGAGTCATTTGTTTAATTAAAAATTACAAATCAAGTGGTCATTGATTTAGTCATTTAATATTCATAAATATTTTTAAAATACTTATATGAAATAGTAATTTAAATGTCAAACATTTTGTAGCATTGAAAATGTAAATGTTTGCACATTTACAATTTGCATGTATATATAAATGTAAATTAAACCAATGTATGCTAAAAATCTTTTCTTTAAATCTTAAATATGAATTTTAAATGTAATCTTGAGCTAAATATGCAAACATAATATTTTAATTTATATTTAAAATTTACAAATTTACATTTTAATAGAAGACTATTTGAACATTGATATATATGTATATATATATATTTTTTTTTTTGACAAAAATCTGACTAAATATTCTGTTGTAACACCCTTTATTTTACATTTGATGGATGTGTTTATGCATATTTAACTGTGTGTGTGTTGTTGATTGTGAAAGGCCCAGTACGTACTGATCCACACTGCTCTGATTGAACACAACCAGTTTGGAGAGACAGAGGTCTCACTGTCTGAATTCCACTCAGTGCTCAACACCCTCAGACAGAAAGATGGCAGTGACCCCAGTTTGCTTGAAATGGAGTTCCTGGTTTGTACTCCATCTTTGATTTTCAGCTGATTGCTTATTAGGACACTGAAGTTTTCCTGTACTGTGTGTATCTGACTATTAATGCAGCATGTTTTCCTATTGCTTTCCTTTATAAAGAAACTCCCTAAATTTAAAAAATGGAGAACATTTAACACAGGAAGCATAGAGGACAACAAGAAGAAAAACCGCGACTCAGCTGTTATCCCATGTCGGTGACCAACACCAACTTTATTAATCTGCAGATCTTGGTTTCAAATTCATGCTACAGAACTATACTGTATATAATATACAGACACACAATTATATATTCATTATAAATAAGCATCAGATGAGTTACCAATGAGCATTTCTGTTTCAGACGACTTTAATCGAGTCCTGTTTAGGCTGGACATTGAGGGAAACCAGACCAGTGACCCCGAGGATGAGGACGAGTATTCATCAGACGAGGAAGAAGAATCAAACGAATACATCAACGCCTCATTCATTGATGTACAAAACTTGATTCTCTTGAATTGTTTTTTTTTTTTATTACAGTTATTAGAGTGAAGGAGAAATTGTTTAATTGTCATGAAAATAATGTTTTAAAAAATCCTAAAATAAGCTTTACAAGCAAGTGATAGGAATATGTAAATCTCAATCAAATATGCTTGTCATTGCTTTTTAACAGGGCTACTGGTGTAGTAAGAGTCTGATTGCAGCACAGGGGCCTTTACCAAACACAACGGAAGAGTTCCTGCTCATGCTGAACCAGCAACAAACTAAAACACTGGTCATGCTCACAGACTGCCAAGAGGATGGCAAGGTACAACCTCCCACAATAACAGAGAGAGAGAGAGAGAGAGAGACAGAGAGACAGACAGATAGATAGAGAGAGAGAGAGAGAGAGAGAGAGAGACAGA